TGATACACCTACAACAAAATGAAACACTTTTTTCACAGTCTGGTGAACACCACCACTCTTCATCTTCTCCTGGAAGGTTATCTTCTTCTAAATTTACACATTCAATGTGGTACCACCTTCCTAATGCACAACTTTTGCCAGCGGAACATTCAATCCAGGTTTCACAATCCACACCTTTTTTAAAACAAAAATTTAAACATAAATACTTGTGACACCTTACTTTGACATATACTAAAGATAATGAATAACATGAAGAACCCAATACATAACCCCCACAAAATTATGTTTTTGTGTTAACACAACACACTAGCAGTAGTACAAGCCCTTTAAAGCAGAGTGAAAAAAAATCATTTTAAAAACATGATGTTGGTACACAAGTTTATTTTTTATATTTTATCTCACTTTTTGACTACTTTTAGCTTTGATGTTAATTTCTGAGTAAAAAAATGAAAATTAATCATTCACACTGTGACCAGAAACACTATAGTTATTATTATTTTTTTGTGCACTTGATGAAGATTACTAAGAAAATTATTAGTAAGTAAGCTTCATACAAATTCACTAGGTATAGAACCAACAATTATTTTTTGGCAATTTCACGTTGGTTATAGTCCAATTTAACACACATACTGACTACCACCCGATATTGTTAGTGGCCAGGAGAAAAAATGAATTTGGAAATTTATAGAAAGTCTTGTGATTGAGAAAATTGTGACATAAATTTATAGAATACCTTCATCTGGGTCACATATGCAGAATACTCTTGCATCTTCTTCATCATCACTATCAGCAGCTTGTGAAATAGAACAAGTATCTATAACGGGCCACAAATGTGTAACTACATTCTTTGATACAGTCTGTAGGTATTGTTGTCTCAACTCTTTCCTTTCTTCACAAGGAGAATTTGCAGGTTTGTCATCAATATCATCTAATCCCAACAGTTTGATGCAAAGCAGTGACACCAATCCCTCAGTAGTGAATGTTAATAAATCTGTCACTTCATTCATGTTATCCATTACTTTGGTTTTCACATTTTTGTGTTTAAAAACAGTCTTTATATTGTATAAAGTGCCTTTACTGCCAGCACTTTTAGCATTATACATCTTATCCATGATGTCCTAGAAAATATAAAGTTTTACTAATTACTACAATACCATTAAGATATAAACTTTGTATCTAAGGAAATTATGATACTGATCACCAAGTTGTGTAGTATTATTCATACAATAAATTACACGAATCAAGATGCACATGACTGTATAGTTCCATACATTTATGCCTGCAACTAGAATATAAAATGCTGTTGTTTAACTCAGTTAGAGAAGCACTTTTAATACAGCAAAATGCAATATGTACTAATAATACTAATATGACATAAGAGCAGAGGTAGATTCTTACTTGTAATACAATGCCACGTCTATGAAACTCCTGTGGAGCCGGTTCAAGTCCAGCTAGCCTATTAGCTGGGTCTTCACTAGCAGCCATAGATATGCGGGCATCAATCATTCTTTCAACTGACTGTTGATCACCATTACACAGTATAGTATATGGGGTTCCATCTGGCTGCATTGGCACATACTTTTTCAGGTGTTTCATTATTGCAAGCACCCCTTTGCTACTCCCTGGGTTTTCTTGCACTACTCCTAAATTTATCTGTTTACAATGATAAAGAAAGAATACATCATTGCTTTATCCTATATCATAATTTCACATGCTTATAATGCAGAATACTTGCACATGCACACATGTTAAGAATATGATATTATCTAGATATTAATTTACATACACCTGGTATTTAGGGGCAGGCTTAACTTACCACTTTACTTTTCTTCTTAGATAACTCAGACTGTTCATGAATAATATGTTCCACTACACAATCAGAATAAGAGCTCTTAAAATGTGTGAGATGTTTGCAGATTATCCTTGAAACAACAACTGCCATACGTTTTTCAAGGGCATCCCAATCCTCTTGAGAGGGAAGGAAAGAATTCAATGGAATTGTTGTAGCCAGCTCTCGTTTTTCATCATTTAAATGCATAGCAGGTACTCTGTTCTGTGTAGCAAAACACATCGCCCACATTAAAAATTTGTTCTGTTTAGACGATGTATGATACCGAGATAAACTTAGTTTCTGGACATTGTCCCAGCACAGACTGTATCCAGGACCTGAAAATATAATGAAAACAGACAAGTGGGTAAACATTATGAAAGGCTACTGCTGCCGGTGCAAGTTCAACTGGTAGCAAACTGCCATCTCCATGGAGCCATACATTTCCTATGTTATGTCAATCAAATGACCATGCATTTTACTGGTCCTGGTCTAAAGTACAAATAATATAATTTGTTGCAGATAACAATGAATTTGAATATGAGTATGCATGCTTGGTGGTTCATAGTAATAGCATAATTGTCACAATAAACTAGGGCTGCATGGGTATGAAACTATAACATATACTGATCATTTTTATAATTGAGGGCTTTACAGAATATGTAAATGCTGCAAAACCCAATACAAAATGAAGGAAAAACTAATTTACAACAATGTTAATTTTCTCTTTAGTGCAAAACACTATATACAACTTACATTCATTCAATGGTTGAATTCCACCATCACCTGTGTCTGGTCCAAAGAGAGAACGTCTGTAACTAACACCATCCTCCTCTGTAGATTTATCATCACTGCTTGCAGAAGTAATGGAAATTTCACTTTCACTGGCACTACAATCACTTTCACTGGCACTACAATCACTTTCACTGCTAGTAGTAGGACTAGTCATTAACTCTTGAAGAGGAATGGTAGTTACACCATCCGTTGTATGAACATTAGGCCTACTGTCCATATTATCAACATCGCCAAATGCAACATCTATGTCACCATCATCACTACTGATATTAGGAGCATCATCTCTTAGTTCTTCCTGTCAAAATATGTATTTAAAATGACTTTTAACATACACTTTTATTGTTAATAGTATTCACATTGACATTCATTGTATCCATTATCTATTCATCACCAATAGCTATGCAAATAAATTCTTATACGTTACCTCTATCTTGCTTTTCATGTCATACATTTCTTTGTCAAAGTTTTTTCTCATTCTGTCTATTGTGCCACGTGTTCCATTTACGCCCAAACAAATACCAACATGCTGGAAGCACTTGAAAAGCTGCATAATTGAAAAAAATAACATAATCTAAAATAAAGTCAGTTGTTTAATAAAATTAGATTAGTAAATACTGTGGGCATACTGCATACTGATAAATAAAGCAGATAAATAATACAGATTGTGCAGAAGCCAGAGATTGACATGAAAATATAATTTAAAAGTCTGTGTATTTACAATGTCTAAACATTGGTTGGCATGAAATTATTGTTATGTATGTTCCATACCTTCTGACTACAGCCACTTTTATACATTTGAATGGAGTTAAATGCTTGTATTATATTAAATTTTCTTCTTTTTCTTAAATGTAGCAAATTGCACATAATCATTCCATATGCTGGAGTTAGTTTGCCACAGCTACCATCAGAACGACTACAAACACAAATATGAAATAAATGCCATTAATTCTTAAAATAATGCTAAAGCAGTTTTCTTTAAATATTATGCAATTAAGTAAGTGATAAATCCAATCAACACTCAATTGAATAACACCCTCTCCCAAATATGGTTTAAAAACTTTTGTTTTTCTAAACTGGCATACTTTATGTAAGTGATAATTCACACAACCTTGTTTTCTTTCCTGCGGCACATTTAATAAAATTTATACTGAAAAATTGTCATCTATAACAAACTTTACTTACATGTCTATCAGATTATGACTACGTTGGGTAGTTAAAGCTGCTCTGATGATACTGGTCAGCAGAGGTAGACCACAATTGACCTCTTCAATTATTTTTTCCCATTGAAAAGACTCGCATGTCTCTTTAGAAAGTGTCATTGGTCTGCTTTTTTTAATGTAATTACCAACTTCCTTCCTTACCTATAATAATTTTCAGTCAAAGAAGTTTAAATATATTAAAAAGAAATATTAAATATCAAACATTTTCCTTGCATTATATTACTGGAAATGACATTTAAAATACTGTATACAACTAGTTGTTTGATTATGCAGTAATCTGAGGTTAACCATTAGGAGCATCATTTTGCATTAATTAGTAACATCTCTACTTAGATGATTATTTCCACAATGTTTGCTAACTTTGTGTCCTTGGCTTGTTTTAGCACAAATGCCAGTCATCATTGTCTGACCTCTAAACCATGTGATGTTTACAATTCCTTTGTTTTATGCCTAACTGCCAATCAGATTTGTTCTAACTTTATTATTCTCATAAATAAAAGTGTGTTGAACCAAAGACAATTGGTTGAACACACCAAAAACAACAACTTTAAAACCTACCTTGTTGCTTATAACAGTAGCAATTTGTTTCCGTGCACGAACACTTCTGTGATACAGAATGCTAATAGCAGACTCATAATCATGTCTCTTAACAGCAAGAATGACTCTTTTCACAAATGTTAATTTCTGTTGAAAAAGAAGCTTTAATTAGGGTTATTGTAACATTTTTTTTTTTTAAGATTTGAAACATGTGAAATTAGGTTTTTGCCATTCAATCAATGTTTGAGAGAAAGTAGTACAATAAATTGTGGCACTTTCCTTTCAAATAATGAATAGAGTATCAAACACTTTAAATAAATTATTTTATTTAACACTAGTATTTAATATAACACTAACCTTTGCTGTTTCATAATGGTTTTCATCAGCATCCTCCACATTTCTATGTTTTTTAAGAGTGCGTGGTGTTCTGGTTGGAGTACATCTTTTTCTTTTAAGATGAAGATATGTACCCTCAGCACATCTTGCAAAAAAACCCTGCTTGGCTTCTTTCCCTTCTCTAATTTTTCTTCTAGATTTTTCCAGAAGTGCATAGCAATCTTGACATAGGCACCTGGGTGCATCAGATTTGTGGCCTAGGGGTGTCAGGTTTGTTTCATACACTTCATCCAGTGCATCCTTGACACACTCTACTTTACCAACTTGTTTCACAAGAGAATGTCTCTTATATCCTTTTGCCTTTACCTCAAATGCATTCCCACAGTTGATACACATAGACATGGTAATGGATATGGAGGTGTAGCAAACACTGGCTTGTGTGAGAAAATACCCACAATTCATTTTTATTATTATCATTTTTTTTTTCAAAATAAATAATTAAAATAATACAATTATTAATTTATATTATGTTATTTTATTTCTGATACCATGTTTCGATTTTTTTTATACATTGCATATATATTTGTGGTTGTTTTCATCCATAATATTCATTAAATCTCAACACAACTCCAATCGAGTGGCTTATTCGTGAAATTGCGAGACTATGACGCGCCGTGACGTCATGGGTCAAAATTTCCAAGATGGCTGACCTTGAAGCGTAAATAGTGGGTTTTCGCCGGTATTCGTCTGATTTTAGTAGATAACGTCGGTAATTTAGAACATCCAAATCAGAATAGTTGTCAAATGTGTTTAGATAACGATCGATCATACACAGGTGAGCGTAGACAGCCAATTTTGCTAATAAAGTGTCAATAACCTGGCCGACACGGATTTGTGTCGTCCGGTATGGTAACTGACTACGTCTCGTACTGTAGCTCTAGGGTTTCGCAATTACCAATAGACGACCGAATCAGACTACCGATGCAACAGAAAACGCCAAAAACGGACACCAGCGAAATCCAGAGCTACAGAACTGCAGCTACGGCTATCCCTGTTAGTATAGTGTATGCAAAAAGCACATTCACACAAATCACTGCATGTCATGTCCGTCTGACAATCTATAAAATGTTCTAATTACACAATAAAAATACAACTCAATGGCGTCAAATTTACCATGCGACACATGCGTCAGGTGGTCATAGCGTGTCATTGTTTACAAACAAGCGTTTTCCCCATAAGCCTTTGTGTTCTTAGCGTGTG